GGTTGAAAGGAGCTGCCTTGCCACCTTCTGCCATGTGAGGATGCAGCAAGAAACTGTCATCTATAAGGAACAGGCCCTCATCAGACACAGAATCTACTGTTGCTTTGATCTTGCATTTCTCAGCCTCCAAAACTGAAAAAAATAAATTTTTGTTGTTCATAAATTACCCGATCTAATGTATTTTGTTATAGCAGCCCAGTTTCCAAAATAAAAATAATGTAAAGGGATAGCAGGATTTGGGGAGTGAAAATGGCTAGTTAAAAAAAAAAAATTTTTTTTTCTTTTTTTTTTTTGAGACCAGTCTCAGTCTGTCGTCCAAGCTGGAGTGCAGCAGCATGATCACGGCTCACTGGGCTTAAGTGATCCTCCTACTGCAGACTCCCAAGTAGCTGTGAACACAGGTGTGGGCTACCATGTGCAGCGAATTTTTGTATTTTTAGTAGAGATGGGGTTTCCCCATGTTTCCCAGGCTGGTCTTGACCTCCTGGGCTCAAGCAATCTGCCCACCTTGGCCTCCCAAAGTGCTGGGAACACAGGTGTGAGCCACTGCACCTGGTCTAAAAATTTTAATAATAAAAATCAATTTTAAAAATACCATAAAGAATGCATAAAAGCATACGTAAGTATTTTATTAGTATATATTGACCTTTATGAGGTGAAACAGAGGGCCTCCTAAGATATACTGGTTCTCCAGATCTTTAAGGTAAAGTATATGCCCATGAAAGTATCACCAGTATGTTCTGTGGCCTCGCCATTGGCTAGTGAGCAATGTTTACATAGTTCTACAGAACTATGTAATACATCAGAACAAAAAATACATCATGTTTACATAGTTCTACAGATTGGCCCTATCTACTTTGTTAACAAGCAGTCTTGCCTTTTCCTGTGTCTCCCTAATCTTGCTAACTTCTGATTCACCAACTGCCATCACTATGCCACCGAGGATTTGCTGTCTGCCTTTTCTTTTTCATTTTTAGATGGGGTTTCACTTTATTGCTCAAACTGGAGGGCAGTAGCTCCAATATGGCTCTCTGCAGCCTCGACCTCCCTGCTCAAGCTATCCTCCTGCCTTAGCCTCCCAAGTAGCTGGCACTACAGGTGCATGACACTACACCCAGCTAATTTTTTTTTTTTTTTTGGTGGACATGGGGTTTTGCCATTTTGCCCAGGCTAGTCTCAAACTCCTGGACTCAAGCAATCTTCCTACCTCTGGCTCCCACAGTGCTGAAATTATACATGGGAGTCACTGGGTCTGGCCTCATTACCTTTCTTAGGCTCTGTCTTCACATCACATTTTTTTCTGCCTCTCCATCCTTTTATTATTATTTACTTAATAACCTCTGTCAGCACAGAATATGCCTCTCCATTCTTATTGCTACAAATCAGAAACTCATACTTCAATTCCTGCTGGCCTTTTTATCTTCAGTTTTTACCTCTGCTAAATATTCATGTCAGGACCAAGCGTAATGATTCACGCCTGTAATCCCAGCACTTTATCACTTGAGGTTGGGATTTTGAGACCAGCCTGGACAACACGGTGAAACCCCGTCTCTACTAAAAACAAAAATTAGCCAGGCGTGGTGGTGCATGGCTGTAATCCCAGCTACTCGGGAGGCGGAGGCAGGATAATTGCTTGAACTCAGGAGGCAGAGGTTGCAGTGAGCTGAGATCCGCACCACTGCACTCCAGCCTGGGTGAAAAAATGAGACTCCATCTCAAAAAAAAAAAAAAAAAAAAAAAAACATTAATGTGAGGTTATTTTCCTAAAGTGTATTTAGTGTATTTGCACTTCTTCTCAGGCACTGATTTAAGTCTTACCTTTTTTGTAAAACCTTCTAAGATTCAAACTCATATCCATCTTTCCCTTCCTTAAGCACTTAAAATGTGCACAGCTGCATCTGTCCAATCATAAAAAACGGCAGTGAACAAAACACCGTATTGGAATAAGCTTTGGGACTTAAAAAAAAAAAAAAAAGAAAAAAAAGAAAAAAAAAAGGTTCTTTATGGTATACCCTATGTCCTTGAATAGTGTGTACTTATTATATATCAGGCTCTACAAGTATTACTTTTAGTTCCTCAACAATTACATGTACTTTTGTGTAGTTTTCCCCATTTTACAGATGGGGAAACAGGCACAGAAAGTTAAGTATGCTCAAAGTCACACAAATAAAAATTCAGGCAGTTCTTGAGTCAGTGTTCTTAATAATGATCCTAAACTCCTTCTCAATTACCAAATCACCTATATTTGATTTTTTCCATCCCTTAAGTAATGGAGTTAAATCTACCTGTCTTTATTACCCTAAATGAAAAACATAAGTAGAGCACTTTGTAATGCATAGTGTTAAATGGAGACTATTAATAACCTTTATTTGTAATTTGGAATATTCATTTTTTAATGCAATAATTATTTCACTTTTATACTTAAAGGTCTGTAACTATTCAGGAATTTCCTTGTAAGTAGAGACGCACGATCTACTTATGTCCTTTTCTGCCTAGGAGAACTCTGGTTAGATCTATTCAATATATATTACTGTTTGGTTAACACCCTTGCAACTTGCAGGGAAGTAAAGCATAAACACATAAAAGGAAATAAAAGTTCCCATCACATAAGGTTAAAAATATTATTTTATTTTAAAAATTTTATTTAAAAAATTGTATAGTTTTCCATAAACTATTCAGAGAAGGGCAAATTCAGTTTCCTCAGATTCTACCAGAAGTCTGATCCTTTAGGTTAATGTTTTCTGCTCAAGAGTTAGATTCAGAAGTAATGGAATAAAATTATCTATTACAAGCATACTTTGGTTGATACTTTATCAGTGATATGTCATTTAAATACGCATTACTTTGAGAGATTTGGACTTAAGGGGCAAGTTTCACCCTTAACTCTTAATTTTTTAGTAGTCAGATGTTTATATGTATCAGTTTTCCCTTGTTGGAGCTTTAACGTAATTCTCCTTTATGAGATGCTAAGCTCTCTACATTCACATACTCCCAAGGGTACATGGCTAATACAGATAAATCATACATGTAATGTTTGCATCCAGATGTAATTCATTTTTTGTCTTAATAACTGGACTTTTATCTATCCAGAGGCTTTCTCGTTATATCTGTGATCCTTACAGACTACAGAAAACATAGCAGTTTTAAGACACATGCAAAAAAGTTTCCAGCCAAAGAGATTTTGTGATGCTCCATAAATACTGTACATCTGTTATTTATCTGGCATATTACTTTAATAACTACACAAGGCCATAGACTTACAATGTATTTATGATGAAAGTAGTTTCGTAAGCTACCATATAATGTTAAACATTTTCAAAACAAAAGCACACTCTAAGTGATGAAAAGCTGTTGGGAGTATTTATTTTTTTACTTTTATTTTTTATTTTATTGAGATGGAGCATCGCTCTGTCGCCCAGGCTGGAGGGCAGTGGCACGATCTCCGCTCACCGCAACCTTCGCCTCCCAGGTTCTAGTGGTTCTCCTGCCTCAGCCTCCCTAGTAGCTGCGACTACAGGCACCCGCCACCACGCCGGCTAATTTTTGTATTTTAGTAGAGACGGGGTTTCACCATGTTGGCCAAGATGGTGTTGATCTCTTGACCAAGTGATCCGCCCGCCTTGGCCTCCCAAAGTGCTGGGATTACAGGTGTGAGTCACTGTACCCAGCTTTATTTTTATAAGATCACACAGAGGTTAGTTTTTGTTTTTGAGATGGAGTTTCGCTCTTGTCGCCCAGGCTGGAGTGCAATGGCGTGATCTCAGCTCACTGTAACCACCGCCTCCCGGGTTCAAGCGATTCTCCTGCCTCAGCTTCCAGAGTAGCTGGGATTACAGGCATACACCAACACTCCCAGCAATTTTTTTGTTTTAAACAAAACTCTTAACACCTCGTTAATCATTAATTAGTCTTTGGGTTTTGATTCAACTCCTAACATTTGCAAATCACACAATTATCTTTGTTCTTTCATTTGTGGAAGACACTTTCATTTGTTACCCTGAGAATATGAGACATTCACAATCTAATTCCTGACTACATTTGATTTCAAACAGATCGGAATAACTTCCAGAATATAAAATTTTAACTATTTGGGAGTCATCTTGTAGGTATCTTGTGGGTATGCTCTAATTAAGAAATGCTTCCTTTTCCCAGGAAAACTGCTGACATTGCAAGAGTTATTCCAAAGCCACAATTCTTAAGAAAATACATGTTTAACCTAAATCATAAAGATATTTTGTAAAAAAGGGAAATCGCTCCTGCTGATGTTTTGTGTATAAATCTCTTTCTAACTTCAAGCTCTCTCAAGTTAGGGCAACACAGTAAATAAAGTGGGAACAGTATCACATTGGGAAATATCTGAAATGATACCTATGGCACTATAAGGAAACTGAGGCCCAGAAGAATTGAAGTGACCTGTGCAATGACACCAATACGTTAGCAGAGCCAAGATTAGAACCAAGTTTGGTGCCTTCCTGCATCAGTCCTTTCTTGGTGCTGAAGGAGCCTTTTATTTATTAATTTCACCCTGGAGAATTCCGGCAGACCATCCCGGCGTGGTAGAAGCGTGAACATTCGTTTTCTAAGGGATGGTCACACACCTTTTTCTATTTGCATTTAGTTTCTTTAAAAAGTAAAAACACCTCCATTTTGGACCACTTTTAGAGACAAAAGCAGAACATACGAACGTGCATTTCATTGTTGAGTTCTTAAGACGCTTACACCGTGTGGTTATAACGTGCGCAACTTTGTCCCGGCCAACTGGACTTATTTTTAGTGTTATTTTCGGCTCCTGCTGCAGAAAACTAGGGATTCAACTACCCGCACCCGCATTTCACACAACAGCGCTCGTCTACTCTCCTCCTTCACTCCTAATAAAAAACGCCTTATCCTGTTTCTTCCTGCCTGCTCTACCTCAACATTTTCACTTATTATCTTCCACCACACTGGCTTTTACTCGGATTGGAAACCCACTCTCCCCCAACTTCTCTCTCGTACCCCACCTTCGGGAAGCGTCCTCCTTTTTTCCGCCTCTCGTTTCCTTTGTCTTACACGGCTTCCGGAACACGGCCCAGAATTACAGCGAAAACACACTGCGCACGCGCACTCTCTCGTCAGAGCGGCGCTGCTTCTGTTTGGTTGGCTAGTTCGTCCCAATTTCCGAGTCAAAGGGCTGCGGAGCAGCAACTCTCACGATATTTGCGGCGGCCCGCAGACGCGAGCCGCTGCCGAGTTCTGGCGCGCCCTTTCAGTTCTGCTTGTGGCCGGCACCACTGCGTTATCCGGAACTGCCGGTCCGAGCAGCATGACGTCCGCCTTGGAGAACTACATCAACCGTATCCTCAAGCTGGCCGCCGCGGGCGTGAGCCGGGGCCGCGGAGAGACCGCCGCTCGGGGATCGGTGGGAAGTTGGGAGGCCCGGCCGCGGCGGGATCCTGGGGGCGGGCGAGATGAGGACCCCGGAATGACCCAGAGTTCGGCGGCGGCGCCTAGAGCCTGCCAGCTGCTGCGGGCCCAGGGGTCCTTTCCATTTTGTCTACAAAAGCCAAATAAAAACCCAGTGTGATTTTTCCGAACTTTTCTGTCTTAAAAAAAATTACGCTCTTGATTCTTCCTTACTATTTCCCTAGGGCATAAGTGTTCAAGTTTGTAAATAAGATGAACAGTCGTCCTGGCTGCGACAACAGTTTTGCAAATCTGTGTACTTGTTTTATTCACATAATATGCTCATTAGTTCGAGGATAGCAGAAAGTTTAACGATGGTTCACAGACTGTTTCTGTCCCTTTACCACTTGAAGACCCTACCTGGTGGTGGAATGAAAAAAATGCTTGCTGTTGTAATGGATTATAGTGAGGAGCAAGTAACAACCCCACGGGAAGTCTTAAAATAGACTTTACAAGTGTTACCGTTTTAAAGTCTCAGAACAAAAACACTATGTTAAGTTCAGGTACAAACTGGGTGACAAAAATTAAATACCGAATGCTTTTAATGTTACAGGCATTGTTAGTACCTTGTGACACTGATTATATAGTTTATTTACTTTTGAATTACAGAAGCCTGCCCCGGAAGACAGTTTTTTAACATGCTTGAAAATCGTCCAACATCGATGAATTTAGTACTCATCCAGTTTTCATTTTAGATATAAACAGGCCCAAGAAACGAAATATCCTGTCCGAAATAATAGATTGGCATCATTCCTAGTAGAAAAGTGTCAAAAATCCAGGATATTTTGAGATAGGATACACCGATCACATACAGAAAGAGGTTTTCTTTTCTATTTTTTCCTTTTTTTAGTCATGTAATTATCACAAAACTAAAACAAGCTTTTAAAAATTTTTTTTCTTTCTTTTTTTGAGTCCAGGGTCTCACTGTGTTGCCCAGGCTGGAGTGCAGTGGCTTGATCATGGCTCAATGCAACCTTGAACTCCTGAGCTCAAGCTATCCTCCTGCCTCTGCCTCTGTCTCCTGAGTAGCTGGGACTATAGGTCACCAGGCCAGGGTAGTAGAGATGGGGGGGGTCTCACTGTGTTTCCCAAGCTAGTCTCACCTCAAGTGATCCTCCTGCCTTGGCGTCCCAAAATCTTTCAACGTTTTTATGTAGTGAACTTAGTGGCTGTGTTGAACACTTTTACCTAATTGTCATATTTGTTCTAATAATTTAAATCATTACCTTGCCAGAGTCTGTTTTCAATTTGCATTCCCTAAGAAACACTTTCCTTTATTCAGTTATCAGGAACTGTTGCCGTTATTACATCTGATGGGAGGATGATTGTGGTAAGTCTTCGGAATTTTCATTCTCTGCTTTCCTGTAGGTTTATTGGTTGCAAGTTTTATGTGAAACCTCTGATCTCTAATGCCTAGACAGCACATTACACCTGTAGTGCAGTTTTATTATAATTCAGCTCTTTATCACTTTGCTGTCAATCCACGTTTTCCTCACTCATAAACGTGGCGTGTTACCTACAAGGCTTCTAGGAGCTAGAGTTATAGATTCTGCCCTCAGAGAGCTCCTAGTCTGCAGACCTTCATTAAACTTACTTTTCTTCTTCCATTTTTATTTCCTTCCTCATTCGGCACCACATGAATCAGAATTTTTTGAAATTTTGCATATGCTTAGTAACTTTTTAATGATTTAGATACTATTAATATCTACATATCAACATTTAAGGCTTGTATACAATCTTAACATTCTTTGTTTTTAGGTTGTGTGACATGTCTTCTGTAGGACACATTATGATGATTGACTCTCTCTATATACACATATTTACGTAAAATTGGCTTGTTCCTTGAAGTTGTTTCTCCCTTGCTAATTTATGTCATATAACAAAGATAAAACGTTCCTATGGTGATACTTGTATTTGGAATTTGATCTGAGGAATTCATCTCAAGATTTTTGGGTACTTGATTATTTCTTCACTTATAATTCCTACTCCAAATGCTTTCAAAAGAATTTTAAGGCTACTAAACTTTTCTAACCCTACCTAGTTTCTTTAAATAATTTGATCCCTTATTTTTCCATTCTGCAGTTTTGCTTTCGTTTGTTCTTAGTGACTATTGTTAGTCAAAGTTCTAGCTTTGCCATTTACTAAATTTATATCGTGTGCCAGGTGCATATGTGTTACATTAATTAATGTACATACAACCTTGTGAAGAATAAGTACCCCTGTATTCTAGATTAGGAAACAAGTTCAGAGAAGGTGACTCACTTTCTCAGAGTCACAAGGGTAGCAGGTGACAGAACCAAACTGGGATTTAAATTTGCTTTGACATCAAAGCCAAGGCCAGTTGCCTGGCTTCTTTCTTAAGGAAGCAATCATGTTTTCTTAGGCACCTCACATTGTATTTTTTCAAATGTGGACAGTTTGACATATTTTAACCTCAACACTTCAAGAAGCCTATTGCTATTAATAGATGTTTGCATTATTTTTTATTTAGTGAAAACCTTACGTTTAAATTTTCTTATTTTTGTTAACAGGATAATAAACTGGGAAATTATTTTTAATTTTAAAGAAGAAGGAAAGCGATATAAAAAGAGCATCTTAAGTTCTAAAGTTCAATAGTTCTGTATTTCTTTGACACATAATTTATTTGATGGGATAGTTAATGGGCAAAATGAAGCCAATAAGTTATGAATGGGTGTTTATAATAATAACCATTTGCTAACTAGTTCAATAAATACTCCATATTTTGTTTCTCTTCCAAGTTATAGATTTCTTTTTATTTAATTCTCATTTTATATATTTTGACTTTCAGAGGATAAAACAGTTTAAGAGCTTGAGAGATTTAACCATCAAAACCAATGTTAGTTGATAATTCTTCAGAAACTTGAATACCATCTGAGTTACTCTGTTATGCTAGACCCATGCCTTCTTTTATTCAATTCTAAACTTTCATAAAACTCTCCCTGATTATTTCCTTCAAGTTCTGGTTCTAATTAGTATAGTCACATTTGTATCTACCTTACTGGGAGAGTTCAATAATACATCCATTTGATACACATTAAACAATACATGTGAGACAGACGGAGCACCGGTAACTAGTAAGTACTCGTTAGGTGTTATATGTAACTACTAAATTTTTAAAATATTTATGGGACTGATTTGAATCTCTGAAAAATGGCAAATTATATTTACTTGTGCATGATAGTATAGAATGTTACGGTTTAGTGGTCTGACTCAGGAGCTAGTCTTTTGTGGTTCATCTCCTGGCTCTGCCACTTACTACCCATGTGCCCATAAGACACACCACTCTGTGCCTCAGTTTCTTCTTTGAAATGGGGCTAATTATAGTATTAAAGGGTAGAGATGAGTTGAGACAATGTGTACGATGTGTTTAGCACACTGCTTAGTGCTGGTATGTAGCATATAGTGATACATTACATTGCTGTAGTTGGTATGTATGGTTCTTCCTTATTTATGTATATTTGCCCATCAGTTTCCCTTAAATCTCCTTTGTTTTAGTTTATACCTTTAGCTGCTGGTCTTCGTAAGCTTTTATGCTAGTTACTTTTTGGAGATACTCAAATTAGTACATAGTTGTCGTTTCTAACTGCCGTCAACTCTGCATATGAGTGAGATGTGTGGTGCAGGACCCCCACCCCAGCCAAACAACCAAGAGGTAAATTGTGTACCCTCGAATACTGTTGGTTATAAAAAAGGTATTTTATTTGACATTGTATTGTTACTTGTATTGGAATACTTGGCAACTGAAATGATTGTGAGGCTGAATTTACACTTTCAGGTAAACCAGAATATTTCTCTTTTTCTCCTGAATATTTTCTTTACAGGGAACACTGAAAGGTTTTGACCAGACCATTAATTTGATTTTGGATGAAAGCCATGAGCGAGTATTCAGCTCTTCACAGGGGGTAGAGCAAGTGGTACTAGGATTATACATTGTAAGAGGTGACAACGTGTAAGTAAAATATATCTGTTAAAATTATAAATGATACTGCCTTACTTTATGGAGAAGAGGTTTTACCCAAAATACCCTATTGTATTGTCCATATGTAATTAATAGAATCTTGCATTCATTTCTTTTGTAAATACAGCGTTTCTTATATTTGCATAAAGTAAGGCATAGCTATACATTTTATGTCAACACTTTATGTTTCAACCAAAGCTTTCTCTCTACAAATTAAACTTACCTGAGATTTTCCCATTTTTCTACTAGTTAAGTAGCCTGGTTAGAGTCCAGAAAGGGCCCTGCCTTATATTAAATACTTCATTAGAGAGGCTTCTTCATGTGTTCTTAGAAATACCCAGAATTTTAGAGGAACATATTTCTAGAGTCCAAGGCCAAAGTTTGAAAAATGGTTTTGAAATCTCTCATTTGAACAATACTAATTCATGCTCAATAACATAGATGTATTTGTAAATAAGTACTTACTTGTTATTCATTTTCTTTTAATTTTTTAGTATCATTGACACACTTACGATGTCCCTGTGGCCTCAGTTTACTTGGGACAGACAGATATAAAAGTTTAAGAGTAATTGGCCAGGCGTGGTGCCTGTAATCTTAGCACTTTGGGAGTCTGAGGCAAGTGGATCAGGTCAGGAGTTCAAGACCAGCCTCGCCAACATGGCAAAACCCTGTCTCTACTAAAAATACAAAAATTAGCCAGGCTTGGTGGCGTGCGCGTGTAGTTCCAGCTTCTCGGGAGGCTGAGGTGGGAGAATCACTTGAACCCAGGAGGTGGAGGTTGCAGTGAACCGAGATCATGCCACTGCACTCCAGCCTGGGTGACAGATTGAGATACCTTCTCAAAAAAAAAAAAAAAAAAAAATGCCGGGCACAGTGGTTCACGCATGTAATCCCAGCACTTTGGGAGGCGGAGGTGGGTGGATCACTTGAGGTCAGGAGTTCAAGACCAGCTTGGCCAACATGGTGAAACCACGTCTTTACTAAAAATGTAAAAAATTAGCCAGGCATGGTGGCGCAAGCCTGTAATCCCAGCTACTTGGGAGGCTGAGTCAAGAGAATTTGCCTGAGAGGTGGAGGTTGCAGTGAGCCAAGATCACAGCCCTGCACTCCAGCCTGGGCAGCAAGAGCAAAACACCGTCTCAAAAAAAAAAAAAAAAGAAAAGTGGCTGGTGTGGTTCCAGTGCCATGGCTCACGCCTATAATCCTAGCACTTTGAGAGGCCAAGGTGGGTGGATCACCTGAGCCCAGGAGTTCAAGACCAGCCTAGCCAGCATAGTGAAACCCCATCTCTCCTAAAAATACAAAAATTAGCCTGATGTGGTGATGGATGCCTGTAATCCCAGCTACTTGGGAGGCTGAGGCAGGAGAATTTCTTGAACCTGGTAGATGGATGTTGGAGTGAGCCGAGGTTGTGCCTTTGCACTCCAGCCTGGGCAAAAAGAGTGAAACTCCATCTTGAAAAAAAAAAAGAAAAGTGGCTGATGTGACAGAGGAACTGAATTTTAAATTTTATTTAATTGTAATTAATTTTAATAGTTACATGTGGCCAGTGTTAGAATAGTTATAGAGGCTAGAAGAATGCCAAATCAATTTTCTAGAGAGTACTACACTGAATCAAAATATAGTTGGAAAGAAGCAAAAGATGCATTAGCAATTTTAAGCTAAGATACATTAAGCTAGATACATTAACACATTCTAAGGGACTAACTGTCCCCTGGAATAACTTAAAATAAAAAGTGCAGGAATAATTTACTCATTTAAGTTGTTTATGTTAGCATCACCTTTAGATGAATAAGTAATTTGATCTGTAATCAAAAATCAAGAGTTTATAAAATATTTTATAGAGATGACTTTTAGATGGAGTTACAAGGTGAGCTATAAGTAATGAGAGAGAGGCAGAGCAGATAGGGCCCAGGTCTCTGGATCAGAACAACACTGTTTATATGGGAGCTGTGCATAATAATTGATTTTAAGGTTTCTCCTCCTTAAAACAATTTTTTTTCTTGAGCTTCAGTGAAAAAAATGGTATGCTAGAGCCAGCTTGTACTGGCTTATGAAAGCAGATTGTTATATTTTAAGGAATTTTACAAGGTAGTTAATGTCTTGTTAGTAGCTTGAAATTGGCTGTGGTAGGAGTGTTTGCACAAGGGATATTAGTAAATGCTGCAAATCAGGCTACCGCTTTTTTTCCAGAGAGCTGTTTTTTAAACATTTATCAGCATTTCACTGCTTACCATAGGGATTTTAAATGATACTAAATATTTAAGAGTGGAATTGGGGTCTTTAGTTTATTTTGAGAAAACTTAATTTATTCTACCAGAGTTTGATATTTTTCATTTATTAGAGGACTTAAGACTTTATATATTTTGAAGCAAAATTGGGCAAATCGCTTATTACTAGTATTCGTCTTGAGAATTTGGCCGGGCACGGTGACGCACACCTGTAGCCCCAGCACTTTGGGAGGCCGAGGCTGGCGAATTACCGGAGGTCAGGAGTTGGAGACCTGCCTAGCCAACATGGTGAAACCTTGTCTCTACTAAAAACACAAAAATTAGGTGGGTGTGGTGGCGGGCGCCTGTAATCCCAGCTGCTCGGGAGACTGAAGCATGAGAATCGCTTGAACCTGGAAAGCGGAGGTTTTCGAGTGAGTCAAGATCGTGCCACTGCACTCCAACCTGTGCGACCAGCAGAACTCTATCTCAAAAAAAGAAAAAAAATAATAAATTTTACTCTTAATAAAACCAAACAAATGTAAACCCAACAAATACTTTTTAAAAATAATATTTCATAGTCATCTTGTGGTCTGAGTGATAACATTGAATATTTCCAGTTAGAGGGCTATGGGTTGGTTATCTAGCATGGTATTAATGAATTTAAAGTTATAGATATTATGTTAGTGTTGAACAAGAAAAAATTTTCTAGCCTTAACCTGAGCCAATCACATAAAAAATGATTTGTTAGATACCAAAGTACTTGGTCCTACTATTACTTTTGTATATGAAGAAATGGCTTTGGATTTAACTGAAAACTTAGGAAAACAATCTAATAGCTGTTATCTGTATCATTGATTTAATTCATCAAAGTTACTCAAATAATTGATACTTTTATTTACTAATTATTTTAGGAGGGATTTTGCGAAATTTATTTTTAATACAGTCCTAGAATTGAATTGAAATAATACGATTTGCAAGTTTGAGAGTTTTTTTACCGTATCTGTCCCTGTGTGTTTGTTTCCTTTAAAGATTCATGATATAATCACTATGTACAATGTGTCCTTTAATATTGGTTCCTGTAATGTGCCTTCAAATTATTTCTTGAGTTTTGTGATTTAAATATGCAGTTCACTGACTCATGCCAATGTTTGCTTTTTTACCTCAATTAGTTCTTTTTACTATGCTTTCTCAGTTTTATGTTTTGGAATAATGGTACTCAGTGCTTTGATTTGATTAATAAGATTTTTGAAACACATGTAAATTTATTTCAGAAATGTGATTGTTTTAACTCTGACTTTTTTAGTGCAGTCATTGGAGAAATTGATGAAGAAACAGATTCTGCGCTTGATTTGGGGAATATTCGAGCAGAGCCTTTAAATTCTGTAGCACACTGAGGAAAAACTACATACTTGGACATCTGTAAATCTTTGTACAGAAACTGATTATTCTGAGGATGATATATGGAATTTTTATGAATGCGTAACTGGATTTTGACTCCTTGTTGATTCATTGTAATGTGTAAATTAAAATATTTCTACATTTTATTGAAAAAACTTTTTTTTTTTTGCCTAAATATAAGTTTGGTAGCTCGGTTTCTTTTTTTTAATTAAATAGTGTGAAAATATAATGGTCATTTTGAAAACTTTTAGCAAAAAGTAGTACTTTTTGATACTTTAGTATTTATGGAAACTAGTGGAAAAGAGAAATTAGTGTGCTATATAAATCAGGCATTCAAATAACATTAGTAGTACAGGATATGTGTGTTTTCTTTCCCTGATATTTAGGAAAATCACAGGAGGGCAAATCTTTCCTGGAGTTATCTGAATCATCGGCATTTATCCAATTCCACTGGTAGTGTTTTGCTAGTGCTTCTAAAAGTTGCTCCCTAGCATTTTGAGGTGTGGGTAGGTAAAAATGTGTTTGCTTGTGAAAAGCAAAAATGCTGACAAGGTTTTAATAGATTGGCCCAAAATTCCAACTTGAATATTAAGAATGACTAGCAATGGTAGAATTGACAGAGATGATTGGTAAAGTCTCTTGATGCCCAATTGATTAGGTATGAAAGTAATATGAACACATTAATGTTGAATTTCACAGACAGTATATTATCTGAAAAAAATTGATTCTGTGTAGTCTTCAATTTTTAATTTTTAAGAATTGGAGAATTTCTAATATTAACGTTTATAAATGTGAGTAAATAAACTCGAAGTTTGTATTGAAGTAGTGCTAGCTATTATTGTCAGCAATTTTACATGATTCATTATCCATAAACCTGATTTCAGAAGACGTCAACTTAGTTTTTTAAATAATTGATAGAAACAATGCTGTAAGTAGTGTTTAGATATCCAGGCTAGTCCACAAAATTTCTGATCAACTCATGTATAGGCCAAAGTGTGTATCTTTGTGATGAGAAGAAAATAGAAAAATATTTACATCCTTGTACTTGAAACAAATTTAAATAGTTTCTTTGTTTTGTTTTTATGAAAGTGCTTAAAAATAGTCGTTGGCAAACTTTTTCTATGAAGATCCAGATGGTAAGTCTTCTAGGCTTTGAAGGCCATATGGTCTCTGTTATAGCTACTCACCTCGGTTATTGTGGCATACAAATGACGATAGATAATACATAAATGAATAGTGGCTGTCTTCCAGTAAAACTTCATCTATAAAAATGGAGGTGGGGGCTGGATTGAGCTTGAAGGCATAGTTGCTGTCCCTTGGTTTAAACAATACAAGTTCAATAAAAAATGAACAATTTGTATAAATTCTGGAATAGATCCTTATAGAGAGTTTAGAGGTGGGTTTCATTCATATTTTAAAACAGTTTAAACTCCATACGTTTTAAACATAATAGCTTTTTGGGGGAGGAAAATATCTTCACTCAAATCAGCCTTGTAAGGGGAGAAGCACTATTCCCTAGAATTATTTGGTTGATGTTAAGGGCTGTCTCTGGGAGGATTAGAGAAGTTAGCTAGTATTGGCTATTCATAAATGTTTGGCTTTTATAGTATAATGTTTTATAATCAATTTATTAATAAAATGATGGAAAGTGGGTAAGGCAAACCGGCAAATTTAGGGACTGAATGAAATAGTATATGGCATTTTTAATTGGTAAAGTAATTCCAAAAATTAAATAAGAATACACATCATTCAATTGCTAAGAAAAATGCATTCTAATGGTACAAATGAAGTCCAGAGTCAGATCTTTTCTCAAAATCCTTGGCATATCAACAGAAATTACACATAAACAAGTAAATAAAAACCAGTCCTGTCCCTCATGATAATGAGTTTCTAATGTGATGTATTCTTGGCTATCTGAAACACCTTATAAAGCTTTATTTTCCTGATTGATGTTGGAAAAACGCATTCCCAAAATGTGAATTATTGTTTTTATGAATAGTTATGGAGCTTGTGAATGATAATATGCCAGATGATCTATGTAATTCTTTATTCCTGGATACAAGCACATGGTCAACTTTTTATGCTTATGACTGATTAAAATTGGATTTATTTTTGCATGAGAATTGTAAGGGAGCCACAACCATGAGTAGTAACATAATTAATGTACAGTGTCAAGATATATTTAATGAGACATTTATTCTATAACCAGTTTTTATTTATAAAGAGGCTCAAATCAATTTCAACCTGTAATTACCTTTGTGCTTTGTGACTCGGGCACAATCTGAACCCAGCTTAATGAATCAGAGATGTTTCTTGGCAAGATATTTTCATTAAAGTTATTTGGAAAGGGCAATTAACTGCAAAAAGGACTTTTTTTTTTTTGACTGACAAGATACTATCTAAAATAATAGTTTAAAATAACATTGCTTTTAGGTCAAAGCACTTTGGTAACTTGGCCTCACATGCTGACAGTTTTGGCTTAAATATTACAAATCTTGATCCCAGAAGAACAAGAGAGAAAGTTTTACTAATATTTGCTTAAACATCCTGTTTAACATCCTTCCTAATTTTTAAGCTAATAATGTGAGATACAAGTATGATAAAAACAACTTTTGAACGTTATTTAATGCAAATACAGAATAACGATGTCAGCATTTTCCTCAGCCGTGTAACCTAAGATTCATCATGTGAATGAGAAAGTAAAGTCCCTTTATAATGGCATGTGAACCAGACAGTTTAGTAGCCAGGGTTGTAAAGCAACTCTTAACTGACAATATAGTATATTCTGGGCCTTCATCTTTAAAATTAGTAGGTAGCATTTATTGAGTGCATATCATGTGCCAAGCCTGATGCTGAGTGCTTACAATGATCATTTTATATATGGGAAAATTGAGGCTCAGCAGGGTCAAGTGCCTTATAAGAGGTAGCACTAGTAAGTAACTGCTCAAATTCAACTAGGTCTTTCAGCTCTTTATACTACTGCCTGTTATCAGAAAGTATAGTCTCAACATCTGCTATCAAGCATCTATCAGAAGCCTGATGAGAAATATCCAGATGATCTAACACAGTTCCCAAACCTGCATTGTGGGTCATTTTCATTATAATTACCTAAGGTGCTTTAAAAATTTTCTTGGGCTCTACTCGTTGTGGTTCAGCAGCTGTGTAATGGAGGAAAAAGGAATAGTCGCTAAACAGTGAAGGAAAGCATGGTGGAATTATTAAAAGACCTAGCACTTACGTGCTAGCATGAGTCTCTAACCCCACAGAATTGAATTCAAACACAGGATCTTATTCCAGATAAGGATAATGACATCTATCTTCTTGGGTTGTAAAAAGTAACATTAGGCTGCATTTTAAACATTTGGTATGATTTTGAGGACCTAACAGTAAACAGCTATTTAATACTATTCCAGGTAGTCAAAGGCCCAATGTATAAAAGTTACAAATACAGGTCTTGTCAGGTTAGCTTTTTAAATGTCTGTCCCACTGACTACCATATCTCTACAAGAGAACAGATGAAGAATACAGGTTGTGTGGGAAGTATGTATAAGTTTACACTATTTTAACAAATGTACAATAAAATTTGTTTCTATGTCAGCATATACTCTTGACTCAAGGAGTTTGAAAGTGTAAACTCAAAGGTCTTTCACGTGTAAAGCGGAACCTCTCCATTCTGTACTTGTATAGTCATTACCTCATATAGATTTAATTTTATTAAATTGAATTTTACTTATTTTGGGTTTAAAAAAACTTGGGCTGTGAATCTCAGTTTTAAGTCATGGGCAAATTTGATAAAAATTGCTTTCTGTCTACATGTAATACTGAAAAAAATGACAAGGTAAAGCTATCTCCATTTAGATTGATACCCATTAAATAGCATAGTGCTCCCATTAAACTAGCGACAAATTCATTTAATTGTGAGATATCTAGTACTTATGCTTCATCCTGTTTATAGGGATTATTGATGTGAGATTTGGTCAGATGCTTTGATGTGATCTTCATTCCTCTGTATAGTGAGAAACTATGAGACGTGCTTAGTCTTCGTAAATCGATGCTGCCTCCTAGTGGCCATTGCTTTCTTTTCTACCTGTCCACAAGCTTCAAAAAATTAGATTTTGGAATTTTGTCAGGGACATTTATTAAGCCATTAATACATGCCAGGCAGTGCGCTCAAAGCTGTGGATAAGCCAGGGAACAATATTCTTCACCTTGTGAAGCTTCTACCTATCTATCTATCTCAACCAAATCATCTTGACTCAGATTTACTGTCCAAGGTCATGTGTTATTTCATCAGATTCTTTCAGTGTTCTGCGATATAATTTATGGGTTCTGGATTCATTCAAAACAACTAGAAATAGTCTTGTTTAAATGAATATAATTCAAATCAATTATTTTCCCCATCTATTTTTTTTTCTTTTAAGATGGCTAAGTCTGTAGGTTGCATAATTCTAAGGATAAAGGCGAAATAAGACTTCACCAGGAGAATTTCTTTCATTAGTTAGCAGTATCCATCTGCTGCCTACTGGCGTCATTTGTGGAATGAAGGAGCTGAGAATTGTTCTGCCAGGTATCTTTCAGACCTCTTGTTGGTTTTGGCATTAAGTTTTTTTTTTTAAACTCAATTTTTGTATTAGGTTTTGTTATGCCTTTTTATTTCCTTCTTTTTTTTAGTGTTTCTTTTTTTTTAAAGTCCTTTAATTTTTATTTATTTATTCATTTTTGAGACAAGTCTTGCTCTGTTGCCAGGCTGGAGTGCAGTGGCGTGATCTTGGCTCACTGCAACCTCTGTCTCCTGGGTTCAAGCGATTCCCCTGCCTTAGCCTCCCAAGTAGCTGGGACTACAGGCTCGCACCACACACCCGGCTAATTTTTTTGTATTTTAATAGAGACGGGGTTTCACCATGTTGGCCAGGATGGTCTCGATCTAACCTCATGATCTGTCCGCCTTGGCCTCCCAAAGGGCTGGAATTACAGACATGAGCCACTGTGCCCAGCCAGAGTCCTTTTATTTTACAGAGTATTACTTGTCGGAAGTGGCACAGATCAAGCATTGCTACAACTAGTATCAAATTCCCATCAATGTCCTTTCAACCGTATATGATACGCTTTCTTCTCTTTAGGATAATGTTCAACTATACTGTAAATATTTTGCTTTTACGTAGTTCCC